GTATCCTTGTGATTTGGGATTAACTGAAGTCAATCATAAAACACATTCTTCTTGTTTGGAAAGAAGAATGTTTCAATGCTTGGAAAGGTTGAATAATTAACAGCAGAATAATCTTGCAAACAGAAATATACTTCCTCTTTTATTTTAGCTGAGTTAATCATCTTGACTCAAGCTGGACTTGGTAAAATAATGGCTGATATGAAATCATAGAATTGCTTCTATTCTACCTTTTAATACATTATAGATTTTTTTCATAGCAACAATTTCCCAGTATCAGGTTGAGACCCTAGTGTAACTAGCAACAGATTGAATTTCATTTTCTAAGGTGGGAACCAGCCTAAGGCTTTTGTCTTGCATCAGTATCAGAGACCAATGATACCTATGGTTTTCTGAGAATATCAAGTATGGTTTTAAAGGGTAAGATTTTACCTTATGTTATCACCTTCTTTTCCAATTGGTCAATAGTGAAGGTTTATATAATATTGGGAAGGTGTGAGTACCCCAGCCTAGCCTTCCCTCTTTCCTTTAATTTTTTGTTTGTTTGTTTGTTTGTTTTGTTTCTGGTCAACTTTCTGAACAGACTCAAATAATTACGTAGTCACAATTTAAATTTCACTTAATGCCCTTCACAAATCTTCAGTCTATGATACTGTGGCAAGGATAGCTCTATGTATTTGCTCAGTGCACATTAGAAAAATCTTTGCCCGCCACTAAAGCTCTGTGTAAGGAGCTCCTTTCTCCATTGACCATGTTCAGAATGAGTAACATCAGCTGCCCTGAAATCTTGAAATAACCAGGACAAAGTGGGCATTTTAATTGGATCCTAATTTTCTTCCCTGTTGCCCTATGATGGTTGCTTCAGAGAAGAAATAAATTAATAATGAGAGCTTAGCCTTCATTATTGAGCCATCTTCAAATGGAAGGCTAAAAAAATACCTTGTGCTGAGCACAGTGCTATTTGATGCCCCCTGCATTTGGATATATTTCCTAGCATTAGACTGGAATAGGTATACCTTATTCCTTATCTAAAATATTTGATAGCTTCATTTCCCTAAATATCCTTGTCTCACAGCAGCATTTTTCAAATTGTTATACTCCAGAAGTGTTGGAGCATGGCCATTTCTGGTCAGTCCTAATGCAACATGTCTAGAGAGCATTAGCTTGGAGATGGGTGCCATGAAGAAAAATACGAAGGATTAAAATAACTTCTTGTGTCTCTCCTCATGCCAAAACACTGACTTTGTGGAAGGTTATCATACATGCTATCCTTCTTTATTTCACCCAGAGGGCCTGTTTTAGAAATAAATATAGGTAGTCCTCACTTAAAAACCGGTTATTTGGCAACCATTTGAAGTTATGATGGACTCCCCAAAGCTACGTATAACCCACTTTTGAGGTTACAACGGCTGCATCCTGCTGTCAGATGATCACATTTTGGCTTTTTGGCAACTATCTCACATTTTAAGATATTTACAATATCATGCAGACATTTGACAACAACTTTCTGTGATTTTTGCTGGTTCTTGGCTTCCACTTTTGCTGGTTTGGGTTTCCACAAAAACAGCCATTGGGGAGAATAGGTTTGCTTAATGACTACTGCATTTACTTAACAATTGCCATGAAACAGATCATAAAATCGGTGAAGTCACATGGTGACCCACTTAAGTTACAACAGTAATTCTGTGGTCAATTATGATCACAAATTTAGAACTAGTTGTGTATATGAGTTATTTTTAGAAAGCAAATAGCAATAGCACTTAAACTTATATACCACTTTATAGTGCTTTACAACCCTCTCTAAGCAGTTTTACAGAGTCAGCATATTGCCCCCAACAATTTGGGTCCTCATTTTACCCACCTCGGAAGGGTGGAAGGCTGACCTGAGTCAGCCTTGAGCCTGGTGAGATTTAATCTGCCAAATTGCAGGCAGCTGGCTGCAACAGAAGTAGCTTGCAGTACTGCACTCTAACCACTGGGCCACCGAGGTAAATAGAGAGGTAGCCTGATGTTAGATTTCAGGAGGCAGTGAGTTCTAGTTCTGCCTTAGGTACAAAGCCAAGTTGGTGAACCTGGGCCAGTTACACTCTCTTGGCCCTACGAAGAAGACACTGACAAATTTCACCGACTTCCAAAATCTTGCTAAGAAAACTACATGAATTAGGCTGGTCTATCACCAAGAGGTTTATGTGTCAAAGACACACAAAAAATTAAAATTATACCTTTCTCTAGTATATGGGACAAGTATATGCAAACAGGTTCTGTCCAAGTGATTTAGATTACAGTTTTCATCAGACCTAGGCTAATAGTCAAAAAACTGCACTACAGAGTACACAATATTTAGGGTTAACATTAGAAATTTGTAATTTTTAAAAATAAATATTAATATTAAATATTATATATTTATATTGTATTATAAATATTATATTATATAATATTATAATAAATATTATTAAAAAATTACAAATTTCTAATGTTAACCCTAAATATTGTGTACTCTGTAGCGCGGTTTTTTGATATTAGCCAAGGTCTGATGAAAACTGTAATCTAAATCACTTGGGCAGAACCTGTTTGCGTATACTTGTCCCATATACTATTGAGCAATGTCCTATTCATCCAGAGATTTACCATACAAAATAGGAATGGAACATGTGAGAAGCTGTATGAAGAAAACTTGTAAAAGCACATGTATAAATGGGCTAAAGGAAAAGTGTAAATAGACTTTAAACTTGTATACTAGTGTATCCTCAGCCCAGTTCAGTTTTCAACATATTTGTTTAATGTATAGAGTTTAAGTGATAATTTATTTTTATTTATTTTTTATTTTTAGTTTATTTATTTGTCAAGCAATTATTAGATAACAGGTATAAGTATAAACATGGTTATGAATACATGAAATGGATACTAATAAGAAAAAAAAAGAATAGGACAGGGACGGTAGGCACATTGGTGCGCTTATGCACGCCTCCTACAGACCTCTTAGGAAAGGGGTGAGGTCAATAGTAGACAGTCTAAGGGTAAAGTTTGGGGGGTTTGGGGAAGAAACCACAGAGTCAGGTAGAGTATTCCAGACATTGACCACTCTGTTGCTGAAGTCGTATTTCCTGCAATATATATCAGGACACAGATAACTAACTGATATATAAAATGAGGAGAGCAACCCCTTGCAGATTATCCCACACTGGATCATTTTCAAGCAAGTCTTTACTTATGTAACGTATATTGTCCATTCACTGAGAGCAGATGTGGAGAAGAAAACAGTATATGTGAAAAAACACAACTGACAGAGCAGGCTATACATTCACAAGCTGATGGCTGCAAAAATCATGTAGCTTTAAATCAAATAGCATAAACAATAAATTTCTAAATAATCCAGTGGCTAGCTTTTCTGAATATGGAAGACCTAAGTAAATTGTAAAATTTACCTTTTCTTAGCATACAGAAGAATCACAATCTGAGCTATTCCTCCCCCCACCCCAAGTAATTCTAATCCTGTATTCTTCCAGCCTTTTCTAACCAGGTTGCTTCCGTAAGTAATGGATGAATGGAACGCCTAATTCCCAGCCCCCGTATGGTAATTATATGGAAAAATTCTGACAGGTTTAGTTCAGCACTAGGGGAGACTTAAAGATAGCATACCCTGGAGGCTCTATGTCTTTCCTGCTGATGGGAATCATCCTTTCATATGACTCATCAGGCCAGCGGTTCAAGTCACCAGAGACTGCAGAGTGGAGCTTTCTTGTAGCATGAAACAAATGGTGGCAGCCCTTCAACCCTTCTGCTTCTTGCAATGTATTTGTAGGCCTCGAATTCTTAGAGCAAGAACAATCTTACAGTAAAAGAATATTGCAGAAAACCTTGCAATACTTTCATTGTTAAAACACAAGCTGCTTAATAAAAAGCAAGTCACAATCAGTACTGTCCTCTAAAGTTTATGAACCCCAACTTGCAAAACTGATACCAAGGCTGAGGTAGGCTGAAGCCTGATTGTCCGCCACTAATGAAATCACACAATTAGAAAACTGATAGAACTACGCCTTTTGATAATTAGAATAGCTTATTCCAGCCTTCACAAGTGCCTGAAAGAGTGTTCATCATCAGCTCATGCTCTTCAATCAGCAGGTGGATATTAAAGTGTAATCTTGTCTACAGGTCATCAAATTGAGAAAGCCAGCTTCTCTATTTTTTACATGATCCTCATAAGGTGTATTTTTTTAACCTGTACATGTTTATATCCGCAATAAAATCCAAATACCAGTTCCCAAAGCAGTTGGATCATTAATTATTATTTTAAAATTCAGGCATGTAAATTTAGGTATACAGATGTTTAAGTAACTAGGTAACAAGTAATTGACTTACGGTTTACTCCTGCCTGTAGAAATGTCTTAACGTTGCTAGGTAATTTTAATTATTTCCACTGGAAAGAGATGGCTTATTGATGTCACTTAAAAAAGTAGGAATTTAAGAAAATTGTTCTCTTTATTTCATGAGAACATAGGTGGAATCAGAGGTGGTATTCAGCAGGTTCTGACCGGTTCTAGAGAACCGGTAGCGGAAATTTTGAGTAGTTCGGACAATCGGCAAATACAACCTCTGACTGGAGATTTTACAATAACCTTCCCCTGCCACGCCCACCAAGCCACGCCCACAGAACTGGTAGTAAACAAATTTGAATCTCACCACTAGGTAGAATGTGTGTATATTATAAACCTTCATCATACATTTTTAACTAGTATAAGAGCAATGAAATTGATCTCTATTCATATTGATACCAATTTTTCAGTATCTCTTTATATAAAATGATGCATGGGATAATACATTTGGTGAAGCCTACTTTGACACTTTCCCTAAGAATCTGATTTTACTTCTTATTATGCCATTGAGCTAATGTGGTATATTGAATTGAAAATTTGAACATATCTGTTAAAAAAGGTTCTTAAACAATTCTTGTACCATATACCCATTTACTGACCATTGACATACACTTTTGTTTTTCTTTACAGTTTAAAAGAATGCTCAATCGAGAGCTAACCCACTTATCTGAAATGAGCCGATCAGGCAATCAAGTCTCTGAATATATATCCAACACATTTTTGGGTAAGCATAATTATAACAGCTGGTATTCCTTGTTTTTTTTAATTTTGTTTTCACTGGCTTCTACAGGATATCATTATATATACATATACACAAAGAGATACATATATGTATATGTATTTATGTGTATATAATAAAACAGGCATTAATTAATTAAATACAATGTTTGCTTTTATTTTACAATAAAAGTTGGTAAGAGTTGTGGCAAAGAGTTTACCAGATGATCTTTTGCTAACTGACTTACTATCTAGAGAGGAAATTATCCATTGGCCTACATTATCCATGGGCCTTTGTCAAACCTACAAAACTATTCCCAAAGGACTATGACTAAAAGTCAACACATTTAAAATATTTCAGACTCATTTGATGATGATATTCTCATTAAACCCAAATGAAACCTACATCTGAATGGTTTTCTTATTCCACCCATCTTGCTTTTGCAACTACAAATACATAGGTCCTCTTGCAGGTCCATACATCTTCCAGTTTTTCAAAGGTTTTCTCATAGCTGCTACTGATCAACCTGCTCATTCCTCTGCTTATCCCAGGGTCTTCTTGAATCCGATGTGGATTGTTGTGTCAGCCCGGCTGTCTTGCTAGTTATCTGAGATTGTTCTTGCATCAGCATGAATCATTCCATCAGTCCACCTATTTCCCCAATTGTCCTGAGACATCAGTCTTTACAGAACCTTTGTTCTGACCAAGGCTTCCTGAGACACCAACAAACATACGTTAAGTTCAACTGTTAATTCAACAGCTATGAAGTATCGTCATTCACAGCCCATAATGAGTCTCAACCAGTTATAAATAGGCCCATGGAAGTCTGCCAAAGTTCTTTGGGAGAAGTCTGATAAGAATGCACCTTTATCTTTCTTGAAGTGCTGCCAATGACTAAAGTACCAATTAGTCTTTCAAAACCAAATGGAACACAAATTCACCATGGAGCTTTCAGGTTCCAAACCAACCAGAGCTAACAACATTGCTTCCTGTAAAGGTTCCTGTCCTTTTGCACTTCCTTTATATCTTATGGGAGGGGTAATCACCTCCAAGCCTTACTCCCGAATCACCCCTTTTGTCTTAATTGCTCTTGCCTTCTGGCAACTCTGTGCACACATGCTCCCCTTGTTCCTCTGCCTCGCTGCTGTCAGATTCTGGAGGCTCTGGAGTCAGCACATAACTCCCAGATGGCCCTGGCCCCATCTCTGTATCAGATGCAGGACTCTCATCCAAGTCCTCCCCAAACTCTCGAACTGGCCCGTGTTCTTCCCCGCCGCTCAACTCTGCTGGCGTCTCCACAGGCTGCCAGTGGACCACAACAACCTTCTCCCACTGACTCTAGTTCTCTTGTTGCCCTTCCACTGATTTAACACAACTCCTGCGGCTGTGTCTTGAGTATGTGTCAATACACTGCATACATTTCTTACTTGGTGAGGTCTAGTCAAAAGCATTTTGCCCTACAAAGCAGTTCTATAGATTGGAGTTCCAAACTTTCAAAGAATATCATGAGCATACTTGGGGTAAAATCTGGACTTTAATTTTGCTTGTGGAAGACTAACCAGAATGTGCCCATACTCACCAATACTGACCATCATCAGAGGATATTGGTAATGGAACAGGGTACAGGTAATTTAACTTAATCTATACCTTTCTGCCTTAAAAAAAGAAAAGACATATGGCCAATGTGGGCCCATCTGATGATGTTTCATGGCATATGAAAGAGTATGGTAGAAGTGAATAGCAAACAATGAATTAGGAAAGAAAATGAATGAAGGTGATCTAATATAGTAGTATGGAAAGAATAAATACATTCAGGGAAGTGAAAGTATAGGTTTGATTATACAGTATATTAATTGTGTCATTTAGGCTATGGAATGTCACTATACTACTATATACCATAATATAATGGTATATTATGCCGCAGTGACTGATGATAATGGAAGAATTAGATAAGTTTTTGGAGAAATTAAGCAGCATTCTGAATGAATGCAATCTAGAGAGGAAATTATTCTATTACATGACATGGATGGATGGATAGGAGGAAGAGAGAGTCTAGAAAAAGTGATTGGTTCATTTAAAGATCATAGAGTAAACAAGAATAGTGATAGTTTGATGAGTATCTGAATTGAAACATTTTCATTTGAAATATTGATTTAAACATAAGACTATTAATGCAAATACATAGCAGGGAATATGAATAAAAATCATGATTAATGTAATTATGATTTTTTAAAAAATAGGAAAGGATAGAATAGGTCATTATTTGGTAGTCTCAAAAATGGATCTTGAATAGATGGAGAAGTAGAATCAGACTGGTCACAAAAAATTCATAAAATATGATGACAATAGCAAATAAAGATAATGGAAATTATTATACAGTTAATTTTCTTTTAATGATCACTTATTCAGTGACATCGTAACATCCTCATCATCACATGATTACAATCCAGACATTTAGCAACTGGCTCACAGAACAGTTGCACCATTCCAAAGTCACGTAATCACCTTTTGAGGCTTTCCTTGCCAGGTTCTTATAAACAAAGTCAATGGGAAAGCTGGCAGGAAAAAATTACAAGTTGCCCTGTAAGTCATTTTATTTATTTAAGAAAATTTACTTGGCATCCAACTCACTCTCAGTGACTCCCACTGCTTTTTCTCTTGAGCTACCCAGCTATGGCGTACGGGAACCTGGGGATCTCATACTCCATAGCACCTGCCTACAGGACATATGCTCAACCACACTCTTGTAGCACATGCATGCCTGACAGCACCATAGCAGCCAGCTGCAAATGCTGGGAAAGATGGACAGACTCAGTTGCATTGGCAATTGACACACTGTTAGAGAGATCAGGTTAGGAAGGTCATGGAAGAAATCTATCTGGTGTCAGGGTTCCAAGTTCCAAGCCTTATTGGAGCATCTTCAGGGCTGACATCTGGTTGCTAAAAGTCAACACCATTTGATGGTGCATAATCATTATTTAGTGCATTGATAGAAAATAAATAAGTATGGTGATATTAAACTAGCTGTATTTAAGACAAGCGGAAGTGCATTTATAAATCTGGATAGAGAAATGTTAAGACATGTAAGTGGAAAGATAGTGGGAATAAGGTAGTCTCTTATGAGGAATGTGTCAGTGTTCCAGAAAAAAGCAGCGTCCAACCCAAAACTCCCGAGACAGGTATTTTCTGAAAAGTTCCTTTTATTAGAGTAGGTATACTGGCACATCTGGGAAAACCCGAATCTGAGAGTTCCAGGTTTTCCCTCAGTCATTCAAAAAGACAAAACCAACCCCTTCCCCCATCAGTCCATCACATGGCCCAATCACATTCCCTCCCAACTTGAGACATCCCTTCAACTATGCCTCTTCTAGGTGCAGGAACAACATGACCTTGACTGACAAGAAGAATGCTATTATGTCTAACTACATATGCTCTACTAAATCCCCCCTCCTAAATTCCCAGGCTCAAGAATATGGCAGCGTGGAAGCTTCTGGTTCTAATATGGCCTGCAAAGTTGATAGAATGGCTGTTTCTTGAATAAAGCAAAAATGGCTGTACATACAAATGTTCTTCTGCCCATTTTACTATTGGAAAATAAAAGTGCAGTATTTCATAAAAATAAATGTAATGGAAACAAGATACCTATAAACTACTGTATATACTTAGTGAAAATTCAGTAGACGCTGAAATGAAGATTGAGGACAAAAGTGAGTGAACCTGGTAATACTGAGAGAATGTGTGAAGACAGAATCGCAAAACAAATGAAAAAAAATGAACAGATGGTGAAGTGAACAGAAGTGAAATGTTTAAAGAAAAAAAAAAACCTTGGGAAATGGTATATGGATATGCTGTGATAGAAAGATCTGAATTGATTCTATGAATGGTGTAAATGTTCTAAATATCTGTCTAAATATTCTAATTGGATCCAATCAGCAAAGACATCTGCCTATCAAGAATATACTCCTGATATAGATTTGTGCTGTTTGGTCAAATAACATTTTCATGTTGTTTATCAGTTTTCTAGCCAATGGTTCATTTTAAGACGGAGGGCTTTTGTGTTTAACATAACTTTAGCAACATCGACATAACCCCCCCCCATCCCCCCAATTTTGGTAACAAGTAGCAACTATAATTCACTAATTCCCTGTGCACTCATGAGCCATCTGGGTATGATTCCAAACATGTGTTGGTTCAGAATGTTCTTGGCAGGAATAAGACAAGACGAGGCTCACCTAAGTTCTTTAGCAAAATATCAGGGAATTTATTAAGTTTGACTTCTGTTTGTATAGCATCAACAAAATTGGCTGCATGCAAGGTTCTGTCTCATAGAAATATATTGCTTCTTTTATTTTCAGTCTAAATATTCTAACATTACTGCTGTGCTGACTTAAAGATGAATAACAAAGCAGAGTCCATATTCAAATTGCTTGCTATTTGAAATATACAATTAGCAAAGGAAACAATAGAAATGGAATTTGGAAAATAGAGGAATAATCTAGAGTTTTATTTGTATGTATTTTTATTAGCTAGTATGATTTTTTGTAAAGAAAATGTGCAGTAGGACAGACTCAGCTGACAATCAAGCACTTGCCCTTCCTCCCCCTCTCCTTGGCCTTCTCCCATCATCAGTTGGTGATCAAACAGAAGTGTTGGAGGAGAGGAGGGAAGATAAGACGGCTGCCTGGGAGAAATAGAACGCAGAAACTAAAAAAGATAATTTTCATGTCTCAGTTCTCTCTGCCATATTCTCTATGATAATTTCTGAAAAATCCCTCAACTGTCAGTAAATGGCTGGAGAACTTACCAAGTGACAAATAAGTAAATTGATCAAAATTGTTTTCTGTACTTCGCTTTTCATTAGTAAATGAAAGTAGGGTTGCTTTTCATTAGTAAAAATGATTGGAAATAATTATTAAGCAATAAAATATTCAGTGATAAGTATTTGTAGATTGGTAAAATGAGGCAGAAGTATCCAGGATCTTATTGCAGACTAGGCTTCTTCACAC